CAATAATGTTCCATTCCATACCCATTAGAGTGACTATAAGAAAAATGACAGGGCCGGGGAGATGGCTCAGTGGAATAAGTGCTTCCCTGGCAAGCGCAAGGGGCTGAGTTCAATCCCCAGTTCCGCAAAAAAAAAAAAAAAGAAAAAGAAAAATGACAGATAATTGCTGGTTAGGATGCAAAGCAATTGAACTCGTACACTGCTTGTGGGAATGTAGCACCTGCAGCTGCTGTAGAAAACAGCCTGGTGGTTCCTCAAAAGGTTAAGAACAGGACTGGGAAAGGAGCTAAGAATTACAGCACTTGCCTAGTGTGTGCAAGGGCCTGGGTTCTATTTCCAGCATCACACACACATGCACACACAAAGTTAAGTCTAGACTACTACGTGAACCATTGATTCTACTCCCATGTATGAAGAAATGAAAATGCCCACATGAAAACTTATACAATCCAGGCGTGGGGATACACATCTGTAATCCCAGCACTTGGGAGACTGAGGCAGAAGGATTGCCTTGAGTTTGAGCCCAGCCTGCACTACATAGTGAGTTCAAGGCCGGCATAAACTACATTGCCAAACCCCATCTCAAAAAAAAAAAAAAAAACATAAAAACAAAAAACCTACTATACAAGAATGTTTATGACAGATCATTCATAATAGCTAAAAAAGTGGAAGGACTGCAATGTCCAACACCATTGATTACATAAAATATGGTACACCCAACAATGTAATCTCATTGCAATAATGAAGTGCTGATATGTGTACAATGTGGATGAAGTGTGAGGCGAACACTGCCAGTCACGAAGATCATATATGGTATGACTTCTTTTACAGGAAACATCAAGAATAAGCACATTACAGAGTGTGCACATAGCTGTAATCCCAGCACCCGAGAGGCTGAGGCAGGAGGACTGCCATGAGTTTAAGGCCAGCCTGAACTACACAGTGAGACTATGTCACAAAACAAAACAAAAATAGGTCGACTGAGATAGAATATAGTTTGGTGGCTGCCTATGGCTGGGGAAACTGAGGTTTCAAAAATGAGACATAGCTGGGCAAGGTGGCACATGCCTGTGCCCATGACCTCAGCACTCAGGAGGCTGACGCAGAAGGATCAATGCAAGTTCAGAGCCAGCCTGGGTTAACAGTGAGTTCAAGGCCAGCCTGCATTACACAGCAAGACCTTGTCTCCAAAAACAAGCAAACAAGAAGTAGCAGTTTATGGTTATGGGGTTTATAAGGTTCTCAACTGGCAAAAACAGTTCTGTGAATTTACCAAAACCCAATGAACTATATATACACCTTTAGGTTTGTTTTTTCTGAGACACAGTCATGCTACGTCATTCAGGCTGGTTTTAAACTTGCAACTCTTTTACCTCACCCTGCTGAGGACACCCATACGCAGTGCTTGAACTGTAGTGACTGAACTATTCGTAGGTCTGTGCTTCCCACTTCCTGGCACCAACACCCTGGCTTGTCCTCTCAGGGAATGGACCTGGGATTTCTTTGAGAACCAGGCTCCTGGCATTGCCCACCTCAGAGACTCTACTGAATGGTGTCCCTCTCAGCCTTGTGACCCGGCAGTCCCGTGGACCACGTACCTACATACATGACGGTGCCCCGGCGAGGGGACTGCTTGGATGCCCGCACCTCACAGCGGCTGCCCACAGGGATGGTACTGGCTAGGGCCTTCTCCTCAATGAGTTGCTGGGCAGCCTCGGCTTCTTGCTGTGCCCGTTCCTCTTCATTGTATCGGCCGAGCTTGCTGCGCTTCAGGAAGGAGCGAACTGTGTCTGTGGGCCAGGTGGGGAATAGGGTTAGACCTGATATCTGGGGCTGTGGCTCTGGCTAAGGGACTGTTCATCACTCAAGCCCCTTAGGTCTCCCACCACAATCCCCATCTCTTCACCAGAACTCCTAGGGCCTCCTTACAATCCACAAACTAATGGATGCTGCCCACCTCTGGCCCTTCATATGACTCCATCTTTTTTGTTATTATTGTTTTTTCTGAGAGGACAAACCAGGGTCTTGGTTTTTCAAGATAGGGTCTCACTATGTAGTCCAGGCTGGTCTCAAACTCACAGTGATCCTCCTGTCTCAGCCTCCCAAAGTGCTGGGATTACTTACAGCCATGCACCACCACACCTGGCTGGGGTTTTTTTTTGTTTTGTTTTTGTTTTCTGAAACCGGGGATTGAACTCAGGCCCTTGCGCTTGCCAGTGAAGCTCTTATTCCACTGAGCCATCTCCCCAGCCCCCCTGGCTGTTGTTTTGAGACTGGGCATCTGTGTAATTCAGTCTGTCCTTGAACTCACTATGTAGCCCAGGCTGGCCTTGAACTTGTCACGATCCTCCTCCTTCAGCCTCTGAGTGTTGGGATTTTAGCCATGCGCTGCCACCATGACTGGCTCCCCATCTTCTTAGATGTCTCTTTCCAGTCTCCCACTCACCTTGATCCAGTCCCCAAAGCCCCTCATCTTTCCCACCACTGATCTTTCTGATCAGAGCCCAGAGGCCTGCGCTGACTGCACACTGCCTTGTCCATGTCCTACGGTGTTCTGGCCCCACATCCCAGCCACCCAGCCCATGCCTCATGTTGTGCTGTTCCCACCCCTGCCCCCTTCAGTGCTTCTACCTTCCCAAGCCCCAGGTGCCTGCCCACACCTTCCAACCCCTCTCTGTGCCCTGTCTACCTCAGTGACTCTCCTGTGCCCCCATCTGTCCCTACCACCAACCTCATTCCAGCCTGTTCCATCCACCCAAGCCCTCTACTCCAACTTCCCACTCCATCAACCCCGTGACACCCATCTTGTCCCTTCTGCCCCTTCCATCCATGCACACTGGCTCTGGGCCCCACACGCCCCATATCTCTCCCATACCACATTCTCTACCTTGCCTCTGGTCATAGGCTTCTTGTGAGAGCTGGTATTTCTCCACCCTGGACACATCTTCATATTCCCCAAGGTGAGCACCACTGTGGTCAATGACCTATGGGGAGGGGAAAGGGATTAGGGTCTGACCAGGGAGGCCTGGGATGCTGGGGCACAGCTGTACACTAGAACAGTCTACAGACTCAGGTCTCCCCCAAGTTAGGAACAGACACATCCCTCCACCCAGGCTTTTCTCCTTACTCAGCAGAGGACAGGTGCAGGTACCCCCTGATCAGCTCTGCTTTCTCACTCCCATGCAACTCCTGGAGCCTGTATCTATCCCCTAATGCCCCCACATGCTGGCATCAACATCACCGATGGTCCTAAAGTCACTGAACCTCATCAACAGAGCTCAGGCTTCCTTATAGCTCTCTGGGCCCCTGTAAGCTCTTTGACTCCTCCTAGGCTGGTCCCATTATCCAGAACCAGGAGCACTTTGTCTGGTGCCACCCCAATATTCAGATGTTCACTACTTACAGAGTTCCCACAAAGCACCAATGGGGCCTTCGACAAACACCGGGGATACAATGCAAAAGTAGATAACCCCTGCCCTAAGGCAAACCAGCCATAAGCAAATGAACAGGTCTGTTTATTAAACACCTGGTGATGACAGGAGCTAGGGAGGAAGATCCAACAGAAAAGAAGCTAAAGAACATGGAGAGGTGGTCAGGGCTGCTTCGGAAAGGATACGGTATCTGAGCCCAGGCCTGAAGGATGAGAGTGAAAGAAGGAACAGTGGCCTCAGGCAGAGTTATCTTGGCCCTTCTGCAGGAGCAGCAGTGGCCTGCGTGGGTGTGTGGGTGAGTGGACGGAGCTTGGAGACAACACCTTACTGTAGACTTCAGAGTTCACCAGGAGGTGTAGAGATGGCTCCCACGTTACTCAAGGGTCCGCAGGCTCCCTCTGGCCACAGACTGTGGGGGAAGGGGTGGGAACAGGGGAACCGAGAGGACAGAGGCTGGGCCAGGGTGGTGGGAAGAGTGTGATTCTGGACATTTTATAGGTGACACTGCTAGGATCTGTGCCAGGATGTAGGTGTGAGGGAAAGAAACCTGGTCACTGTGTCAAGCACAATCCCTGAGTGTTTGGCCTGACCCCTGCGAAAACATGGCAAAAGTGAGAGAGCCCTTATCTCTAGGTAAAGAATCACTACAAATTTTTATTTCCTGTATCAGTGATTTTTCTGACTTTAAAGTTATTATTTTAAGCAATCAATATAGGTGGTATTTATAAATAGAAACAGAATTCTGGAAAATAGAAAAATCCTGAGGTCCCACCTCCAGGACAGTCTTCCCTGAGTGGCCTGGAACATCAGAGACCTGTCTGTACCTGTGTCATCTGGGTGTGAGACCTGCAGACCCAACACCCAGGGCTGACCGACTTGCATCCCAAGGCGGAGGTCACCTGTGTCAGCCCCAAGTCTCAGTCCTGGGCCTAGCAGAGTCCTGACGTGCACCCAGTATGGTCCTGGCCTCATCACCTCCTGTGTACCATCACAGCAGCTGTCCCTGGTCTCCCTGCCCAAAGCCTAGGGGAGCCCCTGAACACCTGAGTCACACTAAGGGCCTCATGGCTCAGAGCACTTGTCAGTTTCTACTTCCTTCTGCGACAACTCCACCATGCTCCTGCCTGCCTCAGGGTGTCTGCGCATGCTGTGTCTCCATCTTCAGTTAACTCTATTCTTCAGGTCTCTACTTAAGCAGCAACTGCTCCAGGAGGCTCTCCCAGACCCCACTGACGGGTCAGGTAGCCCCGCATAGTTTCTGAGTTTCCAGATCTCTTTATATTTGGTTCTGTGATCATCTGGCTATCGCTGCCTCACACAGTGAACACAGCTAAGGCAGAACACTTCTCAGATGTGACTCACCACTGAAGCCCTGGCACCACACAGATGAATAATGCAAGAGAATCAGTTCTTTGAGCAGTGATACCTGAAGTCCTACCAATCAAGGTCAAAATCCTTGTGACTAGCTGGGTGTGGTGGCAGATGCCTATAATCTAAGCACTCAGAAGACTGAAGTAAGAGGGTCAGAAGTTCAAGAGTACTGCCTTGACAGCTTAGTGAAACTGTCTCAAAATAAGAAATGGGGAGGGGATGAGCTCAGTTCAAAGCCCTGGCTTCAAACCCCAGTTCCACAAAACAAAACCAAAAAAAAAAACAAAAACAAAAAAACAAGCAACAATTCATTCTTTTTATTTTTATCTTTTTGAAAATTTTTTTTTTTTAATTGTTTTTTGGTGGAACCGGGGATTGAACCTAGGCCCTCACACTTGCCAGGGAAGCACTTATTCCACTGAGCCATCTCCCCTGCCCCCCCCCCTTTTTTTTTTAAGGTTTATTTATTTATTTGGTACAGGGTCTCACTATGGACTCAATGATCCTGTCTTAGCCTCCCCAGTACTGGGATCACAGATGTGTGCCACCACACCCCAGTATCAGTGGCCAGCTCTGCACCCTGGGCCAGCATGGCATGTGGTACCGGGGATTGAACCCCCAGGTCTTGGCACTTGCCAGGAGGGTGCTTGGACCCCGAGCTATCTCCTCAGCCCATTTTTGGTCTTTTTTGAGACAGGATCTCATTGGGCAGTTCAGGCTGGCCTTGAACTCACTCTATAACCTGAGACTGGTCTTGAAGCAATCTTCCTGCCTCAGCCTCCCAAGTCCTGGGATTACAGGTGTGCACCACCACACCTATAATCACATCCAGCCGAAACAGGGTAAACCATGTCTCCCAGCCACTCAGTATTCAGAAGGTTAAGACAGGAGGATCATCAGCTATGAGTTTGTGAGATCAGCCACCCTGAACTGCATAGTGAGACCTTGTCTCAAAAAAAAAAAAAAAAAAAAGTTCTTCCGGGTGTGATGGTGCACCCCTATAATCCCAGAACTTGGGAGGATGAGGAAAGAGGGAATTTGAAGCCACCCTGGGCTATGTGGTGAGTTGAAGGCCACCCTGGACTACATAGAGCCTGTCTCAAAAACAAAAACAAACAAGAGTAAATTCCATTAGGGATGTGGCTCAACAGTAGAGTGCTTGGGGCCGGGGAGATAGCTCAGTAGAATAAGTGCTTGCCTGGCAAGTTCAAGGGCCTGAGTTCAATCCCCGATTCCACCAAAACAAACAAACAAACAAAACAGTAGAGTGCTTGCCTATCATACACAAGACCCTAGGTTCAATATGAAGCACTGCAAAAAAGAAAGTAAATTCCACTAAGCTAAGTTTTCTCATTTGCAAAATGAGAATACTTATACTATGCTCCCAGTCCTATTTAATGGATTCAATTCATCATTCAACAATGATTCACGGAGGATCCTCTGTGCTAGGCATTGTTCCATTGTGTTGGAGACAGGATAGCAAAACAGAAGAAACTGTCTGCCCTTCTCACTCTCCATTCAGGGGGACAGAGGACAAACCAGACCAATGATAAAAATCCAGATTATGTCAGATGGTGGTAAGAGCTGAGGGCAAGTCTAAAATATACCAATAAAATAGGAAAAGGGATGAGGTTAAAATTTTAGACTGAGGCTAGTAAAGGTGTTACTCAGGTGGTGTTTTAAGTAAAGACTGGAAAGAAGGGGTGAGCCATGCAGGCACAGTGAAGAGAACTACTCAGGAGAAGCATATATGGTGTATGCAGGGGCCCTGAGGTGGAGCTCACCTAGGATCTCTAAGGAGCAGTGTGGCCGGGTGTAGACTGAGGGGAGGCAGAGGTGTCTGAAGACAGAAGGTATGGCATGAGCTGATGCACAGAGGTCCTCTGTCATGGCTTCTCACAATCTGTCCAGCTTCACTGCTCACCCAGCTCAGCTCATGGCCTGTACACCCTCTTCCCTCCACCTGGTATGCCCTTCCCAGTGTCCCTTTCTCCAAGATGCTCTTTCTGATACTGCCAGGCGGAGTCAGCAGTCCCAGTCCTCTAGGCCTTCCTCTTTCCTACTCCCATCTCTCACCACACTAAACTGGGAAAAGGTTTCATGAAGATAGGTCCTATTTTGGTCATCACACGGGGCAAAACACACCAACATATATGCTGAATAATCAAATGAGTGAGGTATGGGGTCCAAGGTAGGGTGGCCTCACATGGATGCGGCAGCCATCATCTACGGGGTAGGAGCCCAGCAGTGCATCCTCCTGTTCCAACTTGCAGTAGAACTTGTTGTCAGCACCATATAGTTCCAGTTCCATGCAGGAAGCAGGGCTGCCCACAAGCAACTCCAGTTTACACTGCAGGAAAAGGGAAAGAGAAGAAAGCCTGTCAGGGACCCACCCATTGCGTGCAACTCCACGCTTTGTGGCAACAAAGTTTCCCCCAAAAGACCCATCACTAAACACCCACCAGGCCCTGCTTCAGCTCTGCCTACCCTAAAGAGCATCGCGTTTCTCCCTGGTCCTGCTTCCACTATCTGGACTCTCAGGTTCTCCCTAGCTCCAACCCAAGGGGCTCGGGCCACCGTCCCCGCAACCCCAGATAATCCAGGCCCCACCATCTCGCCATCAGGTCCCCCTCCGCACTCCGGAAGCCCCCTGTTTCTTTGTCCCGCCCCTCCGGACCCCGCCCCCACGGCCACACCTTTAACTCGGCGATCGTGAGGCTGCGACTGTACCGCTTTTCACTGCGGAAATTACTGAGGGAACTGCTGACGAAAACGGTCACTGTGGGGGCCGTCAGCCCCGTCACCTCCATCTCGCAGCTCCCTGCTGCGGCCCGCAGCGCAGTACAGCGACCTCACACCGGCTCAGCGCCGCCGCTGCTCCTGGGATATGAGCCCCGCCCCCCGCTCCCGGGCTCGCCCAATCTGCGCGCTCCTGCTAGAAGGACCTGCCAATCGCCGTCGTCCTTTCTTCTAGGCCCGGAAGAGGGCTCTCCATAATTCTGGGATAAATCCAGCCAATCCCAAGAGGCCTTTCGTGGCGTACGGATCTTGCAGTAGGCGCAGGGAGAAGCGAGGGTGGGCAGGAGAGGACTGGAAAGACTGCCGGGCGTTACAGTCTCAGCCCGCGAGGGGTAAACGGCGCATGTGCAATAGCCTCAGGCTGCTTAAATGGCTTCTTTTAGCGTGTAGCGCTTTATGGATTATGTTGTACATAGTGTTCCCGCCTCGTATACTAGATCCATCGTACCGAAAACTGGAGAAGCTAGTTCTAGAAATTGGAAGCAAATACCGTAGGTTATCAAAAGACTGAGGCCAAATCTCAGCGCGAAGGGACCCGACACAGAAAACCACTGGGAAGCAGCGTTTGTGCGCGGCCCTACCCGGATTTGGCGCAGCGCCTAGTCTTGACTCTTCCCGCGACCTGTAGCGCGGCCGAGCAAGCGCAGAAGGCTTTGTGAGCCTCGCGCAGTCATGGAACCGGACGGGACGTACGAGCCGGGCTTCGTGGGTATTCGATTCTGCCAAGAATGGTAAGGCCAAGGAAACTGGAGTGGAAAGGGAGGGAGGAATGACTCCAGGGCTGACTTCTTGCCTCTCCCTCTCCACAGTAACAACATGCTTTACCCTAAAGAGGACAAGGAGAACCGTATTCTGCTGTACGCGGTGAGCGCGAGCTGGTGGGGCGCCTCGGTGGTCTCCAGCCTGTCCGTCCATCCCTTCCTTTTGTGGCCACCTTTCCGTAAATGACCCAAACTCCCTGTTCACTCCCGACGTGCCCTACTCTCCTCCTGGCGATTCCCCGAGTGAGCCCGCTTTGTTATCTATTTGCAAGGCCACCCATCTCGAATCATTCTTGCCGAGGTCACCCTACTTCTCTTCCCGTCCCACTGGGGATCTCTTTGTTTTGTTTTTTAATTTCTGAGACATGGCCTCGCTATGTAGTTCACGTTAGGCTTGAGACTAGCCCAGGCTGGCTTTGAATTCGCAGCAACCCTGCCTCAACTTCCCAAGTGCTGAGTTTACAGGCGAGCCCCACCACACCTGGATCGTAATGAGTTGACCCCCTTTCTGTCACTTTCGCAGTGCCGAAATTGTGATTACCAGCAGGAAGCCGACAACAGCTGCATCTATGTCAACAAAATCACGCACGAAGTGGAGTGAGTGATGGGACCAGGGCTTTGAGGAGAGGGTGTTGGGAAGCTCGGAAAGCATAACTATTCACCTTCCCATCCCTGCAGCGAACTAACCCAGATAATCGCTGACGTGTCCCAGGACCCCACGTTGCCACGGACGGAGGACCACCCGTGCCAGAAGTGAGCAGATCGCTGTTTTGGGGGTGGGGTGGGGAATGGTTTATCTTCACAGGCGAAGGGAGGAGGGAAGGATGTGTACAGCCTTTAGTAACTAAGCCATGCCCTTCAGATGTGGCCACAAGGAGGCGGTGTTCTTCCAGTCACACAGTGCCCGTGCAGAGGTGGGTGGCAGAATAGCTTCTTAGGTGGAGTTTGCCTTTCCCACGGGGTGGGTAGCCCAATATTGGAATGAATCTGCCTTTCCTAAATTCCGAGCTAAACTCTTGCCTACTGAGAAAGAAAGATCCCTTGATTGTTCTTTCGGGGTGTGGTCCCGCTGGGTGGAGGGTCCCATACTGTATTGTGTCTTGGGTCCAGACCTTGCCTAATCCTGTGTCTTTTCTGCCAGGATGCCATGCGCTTGTACTATGTATGCACTGCCCCACACTGTGGCCACCGCTGGACTGAGTGACCTGTCCCTCTTCCCACCTGTAATAAATGCCAAGTACTGTGTGTGTGGTTTTGGTGTTTATTTGCCTCGTGGGTGGGATGCTGGTGCACCGCCTCAGGCAGCACGATGCAGGGTGCGGTGCTGTGCGTAGGCATCTGGGCGTGCGCTGGTGAAGCCACAGTCCTCGCACACGTGCAGCTTCTCCCGCCGTTCCCGGTAGGCATAGCTGGCTGGCTGCCCGTGCACTTTTGCAAGATGTGCTTCGAGGGAGCAACGCTGTGTAAAAGCTTTCCCACAAGCTCCACAGCGGAATGGCCGGATGCCTGCGAAGGTAAGGTACAGAGAAGGGGAGCGAAGAGAACAGTGGCTTCTACACTAAAGAGTCCTCGCCTTCTTCCCACTAGTGAACATTTACCGTTCCTGTTCCAAGCTCATCATTCTCCTCCCTTTCTGATCAATCATTTGCTTCCCACACAGAGTGTAAACATTGGCCAGACCCCTATCCCCATTACCCCTCATCAGGAATTTCCTTCCTCTTGGAAGAGTGGCGGGAGGGAGGGATGGTGCTTAGCATCCTTGAGCCTGGGAACTGAATTTGAACCAGTACTCATCTTCACCTCTTCTCAGGCCCCTCCCTTGGTGTTGTGTTACACCCACCTGCTGGAGTGTGGGGCACACCAAATCTCAGGCTTCCTGTTGGCTACATCCTGCCCCCCCCCCATGACACAAGCACTGGCAACTGTATTCTGCCTACCTTCCTCCATTTCATTCATAACCACCCCTGCCTGAAGCCCCGCAACCCCACCTATGCCTGCCACAGCTCACCAGTGTGAGTCCTCATGTGGCGCTTGAGATCGAAGGCATCATGAAAGCCCTTGCCACAACAGTGGCACACATGGCGGCGTGCCGGGCTGTGGCACTTGAGGTGCCGAGTTAGCATGCGCTGCAGCGGAAAGGCCTTGGGGCAGAGAGGGCAGCCAAGTGCCCCAGGGTTCCTGGGAGCAGATGCCAGGGTTTCCTGTGTGGCCTGCTAGAGGGATTCAGGAATTAGCCGCCGCCCCCAACCCCCCAGACCCTGCCCAGTCTTTTGTTACTTTGGAAGTGTTCTTACAAATGTTTATGGGGTACCCATAGCCAGGGAAGACTGTGACTAAATGTGTACTTGCCATCCTCTCCCCAAGGTCTTCCCCTTGGGAAACCCTAGCACTCTTTTGTTGTTTTGTTTTTTAAGATAGGGTCTAGCTATGCAGTTAAGGCAGGCCTCAAACTCACTGTGTAGCCTAGGCTGGCCTCAAATGTGATCCTCCTGCCTCAGCCTCCCAAGTGGTAGGATTAAAGCATGTGCTACAACACCCAGTGGGAAACCCCAACACTCTTATTTCTTCATAACAAGTACTACCCTTCAACATTTTCTTAACACTTTCCTAATTTCATTTTGTATGTCTCTAGCCCCCTCCAGGAATAAACTCCATAAAGGAGTGATGTTAGTCATACTTCCCCTAAACACCCTGTACCCAGAATAGTGCGTGGTTTTCGATAGATACTGAAATGACCTTAAACACATTCTCATTCCAGCTAGTGCCTTTGTTCTCCCAATGCATACACAGCAGAAATAGCCTTCTGAGAGGTGTTCTATTAGTCCCCAGCCTGCTGCTTTCACCTTGTCCAATGTAGACAAAAAGCAGATCACCATCCACTGGGCTGGAATCCTCCTCTGCCCCACTGGACCTAGTGGGGCAGGGCCTATGCTGCCCACCCTGGGAATGCAGGACCTGAGATATGACAGCTCACTGTAAAGGAAAGAGAAGCATCCCCAGCTGAGAGAAACAGGACCCAGGGCTGGAGGGCCTGTGCCAATAGCCCCGGGTCTAAGGGGTCAAGACAGGAGGGATGAAACAGCCTGTACTCGCGGGCCAGCAGCAGACTCACCGTTGCCCAAGTGTCCCCAAGGCCGGAAGACTGCTGTGTTTGTGGCCCTGCCAGGCTGCTGCAGTCTGCAAAAAGAAGCCATGCAGGTGATACCTTCCTTACCTCTTTCCTGCCCCATAGCTCCAGGCTGTGAGGGGCCCACCTGGGATATAGGCATCTCCCCGGAGCTGGTCAGGCAGGTGGCCCCAGTTGGCCGCCTGTGGACGCTGACTCCTGACCAGGAAGACACGGGGCATCACCTCAGCAGTGGTGAGATGGCTCTGTGCACAGAGCTGGCTCTTCTGCCTACTGTCAGACTTTAGCTCTAGGACAGCTGTCCCAGGTGGGAAAGGAGGGGAACCCATGGAGGAGCCTCATTCTCTTCATGCAAATTCTGTGAGGAGCTCAGTGGGCTGACAGCTGGCTCCAGTTACCTCTGCCATGGGCCTGCCATTCATCCTGCTCCTCTGAGGCCAGGGTCCTGAATTTGGAACCTCTGGCCTCCAGGGATCCAAAGCACTAGGCCCCCTCAGTGGGAGTCAAGGAAGAAGAGAAGAGTTTAGGCAACTCTTGGGTTTGGGGACTGGAAAGAAACATGGCCCCAGCACTGGCAGGGAGAAAGACCTGAGGGTCTGTTTGCCAGGCAAATCAGTCATCATCGGATATTCCTCCATCAGCGTGCTTGGTTATTCAAATCAGAGCAGCTGTGTGAGGAAGTGCGAAGGGAGCAGCTGTGATTGTCCTGTTCCAAAGGTTGTAGGGAGGTCAGCAGAGTGGACAGTTAAGGGCAAAAGAATCCAGGTGCCCATCTTCAGGTAAGACTACTTCTGACCTTCAGATGCCCAAAGCTGATGTAATCAAAAGTACTGTTCATGCTTATCAGATACTTAAAAACTGGTATGTTAACAGTCCAGCCCTTGTAACTGCCCGAGACCCCACTTCCCCTCCCACAGCCTGGAAAACAGGATCATCTGGCACACATGGGCTCCCCAGCAGCCTGCCTGGTTCTGTCCTAGGTTGGTCCTTGTCTGACCTCTGACCTGAGGGTTAAGAATTTTGAACTCTCCATGTAGTTGCTTTCTCTCACTCAACACTTCCCTGAGCTCTAATTTTAGCTCAGCCTTAGAAATGAACATTTTAGTCCACAGGGGAGACAGCAGTAATAGGCCAGAATGATCAAGACACCTGAAGGGTTCTGGAGTCCCACAGAGGCTCCTGGTCCAGCAGAGGTTCAAGGATTGGATAGAATCCCTGAAAGAGTTCAGGTGGAGAAGGTGTTCGAGGCAGAGAGGGAACATTCAGTACAAAGACTTGGAAGTGATAGTTTTGTGTTGTTTCTATTGGTGCTATGGTTTCAACCTAGGGCCTTCACAATGACCTGCCTTTCTTGCCCCTCTCCAATTTAATATCTTCAAACAGTGTATTGCTAAGTTGCTCCACTGCCTGGGCTGAGCTGGAATTTATGACAACTTCTGCCTCAGCCTCAGTGCTGGGATTACACGAGCCACCACACCTGGATTAGAGGAAGATTTCTGTACATCCCCAAGAGTCAGTCTTGCTCATCATTTGGAGAAGCAACAGCAGCAATGTGGATGCTGTCCACAGGGAGCTCTGCCATTGTATCTCTGCAGGACCTGGAGCAAGTGACTGCTTACTGCACTACAGTTTCTCCATCTGAAAAATGGAACTAAGGAGTCTGCAGTTTATGGTTTGTGTTGAAGATCCCCATAGATCACTCGCAGAGTGCTTAACATGGAGTGTGGCGAGGGCACGCAAGCTAATAGTGCTAGAGGTGGGGATTAGAAAGTCTTGAGGGTGCCAGGTGTAGTGGTGTGTGTCTATACTCCCAGCATTCTGGGAGGCTGAGGCAGGAGAATCACAAGTGCTATCCCCTCCTGGGCAACCTGTCAAGACCCTCTCAAAAAAATTAAAAAGGGGTTGAGGATACAGATCAGTGCAAAGACTGGGTTCAATCCTCAATACCACTAAAACACAAAACAAAATAAGCTTGAGGATTGCCTTGGCAAGCCACAGGCCTCAGCTGATTTGCCTGTAAAATAGGGCTTTAAGCTCTGTCTCCATCTCACAATTGCTGGATTTCACATGGCCGTGTCCACTGTGCCTGACGCTGGCCTGGCAGCGCAGTATCTGGAGTTGTCCTGACAGTTTCTGTTAAGGGGACATCAAGAGTAGATGAGGAGCTTTGCTCAGTGGCAGTATTGTAGTCAATGAGGTTTATCCAAGGTGCGATTGTTGCTAATTGAAGAGTGGATGAGGGGCACAGGGTCAGAGCAGTGAGGGATGAGCAGACACGTAGATGGGGGGCAGCTATTTCCTATTCCTTTGAAGGTGCCCACCACCATGTCTCCTGGGCCACTAGGTCTTATTACTGTTGATGGGTGGACTGCTTCACCTGGGCTCCCAAGTGTATTGGCTTTCATAGGCCCTAGGCAGTGGGGTGTGCTGCAGATGGAGGGTGAGGTCAGGGTGCTGGCTCCCCCACCTCACCCGTGTAATTTCCAGGCCTGTAGCTTCTGCTTGTATTTATTCTTCTGGGTTCTTGTTCTTCCTTTGCACCTTCTTAGAGGTGGCATGGTATGAACTCCCCTCTAGTAGCAGTCCTGGGGGACTGTACCAGCCCCAACAGCTTTCCCTCATTCCTTTGGTTTGGTTTTTCAGTCTCATTGTGTAGTTCAGGCTGGGCTTGAACTGCAGGTGCTGGAATTACGGGCTTGATTCACTGCCCTTGGTTGGCTAAAGGGCCCCTTTGTTAGCCTCACTTTAGAATATCCCAGGAGGATACCATCCAAAATCTTCCTGTTATGATCCTGGCAATACAAGCGGCACAGAGTCCACCGTCAGCAGTGATTTCCTAATCATATGGTTTGAATTTTTTGGACATTCTAATCTTCTAGGGCCTAAAAGTGTGGTACTTGGAAATGGGCATGTTGGTGCACACTTGTAATTCCAGCAGGTGGGAAGTTGGGGTGGGAAGAGTGCTGAGTTCAAGGCCAACCTGAGCTACACAGTGAGTTCTACCCCAGCCTGAACTACACTGAGACTGTCAAAACAAAAAAAGGCGTGCCATGTGTAAGAGGGGGGTAGTGAACAAGATGAACCCTCTAAATACCACGCTCCCCTCTTGTTGAGAACCCTATTTTGTTTCAGCAGCAGCTATGCCTGGGAAGGGAGAGATAGAGTAAATGGAAGAGCTGGGCATGGTGGTGCACACCTGTAATCCCAGCACTCAGAGGCTGAAGCACGACTGCCACAAATTCAAGGCCAGCCTGGACTACATAGTGAGTTCAGGGGCAGCCTGAACTAGACAGTGAGACTCTGTTTCAAAACAACAAACATTTGATTCCTGGTACTTCCCCCACCAAAAAAAAGGTAAAGAGTAAATGGAAGCACCCGCCATTGTGACTGACCTAAAAGGGAGAGGTCTCCATTAGTTTCCTCACTGCTGAGACACAGTACCTGACACAACAGAAAGGAAGAACGGTTTATTTTAGCTCACAGCCTGTAGAAGTGTCAGGCCAGTCAGCTGGTTCCAGAGCACAGTGGCACAGCAGAGGAGAAGCAGCTCTCCCATGGCAGGCAGGAGGCAGCAGCATTGCCACACCATGCCCACGGTGACACACCTCCTGCCAGCTTTCACCTCCCAGGACTGCATCCAGCTGTAAACCCATCAGTACACTGAGCAGGCATCACACACCCAGGTCACCTCCCAAAGCCCCACCTATGAGCCTATGAGGCTTTGTGGGGACATTGACACATAAGCCGTAACATGAGGCCTCTGAGGAAGACTGTACTTCTCTCCGGCTACCCTGGGATCTCACTTCAAGGCTTTGCTCCTGGTTGGGAGGATGTAGTGCTGGATGGTTCAGCAGTCATGCTGCAAATTTGAGGTCCTAAGCTGGCAGGCAAAAGTGACCCAGAGGGTGAGAGAGGTGGCCAGGACCATGGTGACATTGAGGAACTAATGTCTCCACAATTTGAGCTCCTAGAAGTCGGGTGTTTATTACTTGGAATCAAAGCCTTTATTACGATACAGGGTGGAAAAACAGATGAGCTTGGGTAGTCTGTGGACTTGGAGGGAGCCTCTAGGCAAAGGTCAAGCCTACCTACAAGTTCTGGGGCCCCTGGGCACAGGGAGTGAGCTGTGAGAATTAACAACATTGGACAGATCCCCAAATACCATGAACAGTGATTAGGGGGGAAAATTTTTTTGAGCTTAAATGTTTTGATGCAACAAGATCCTGTCAGGGGGGCCCCATTACTCCTTACTTCATCTTCTCCCTTGCTCACCCCATTCCAGCCACCCTGGTTTTGCAGCCGTTTTTGTACATGTTTGGTCACTTGAGGGCCTTTGCACTGGCTGTTCTTCCTGTCTGAATGTTCCCCAAACCCCCTATTCTCTGACCCTTCAACTAGTGTAGGGAATCCCCTGGCCTACCTGCAGTGACACAGCATGGCTCTAATCTGTCTGTGCTGCTTTCTAGAAGGGGAGTGCCACCATGGCAGACGCTTTGCCTGACCTGTTCCTCACTTTCCTCTAAGGTGCAGATCAGTGATGGGCACCTTGGGCCTAGTTTCTGTCTACAACCAGAGTATGTAGTTCTGGTTGGCTTTGAATAACTATATAGACCAGGCTGGACTTGAACTCATGGAGATGCTCCTGTCTCAGCCTGAGTGCTAGGAATATAGGTATGCGCTACCACAGTGGGCTGGCAGGAGTTTCTGAACAAGCACATTAGTCCTGATATGTATTATGTATTAGTATAGCAGCGAGCTGTGTCTTCACGTTAAAGGGTCCAGCTCTGCCACTGGTATACAGGTTTGAGTCAAAGTTCAGTGAGCCTGGCAAGAAACTAGGTCTCTAGGCCGGTTATCTTGTTTTTGGCGGCACTGGGGATCGAACTCAAGACCTTGCACTTGCCAGGCAGGCATTTATGCTGTTGAGCTTTATCTTTTTTTTTTTTTTTTTTTGGCAGAACTGGGAATTTAACTCAGGCCCTTGCGCTTGCCAGGGAAGCACTTATTCCACTGAGCCATCTCCCCGGACCCCCTGCTGAGCTATATCCCTGGCCCCTCTGAACCCCTTTCTGGTAGTCCATGACCACCACAAGGGGCAGGTAGAGCATTCACAGCAGGAACATGGGTGGTGGTGGGGACTATGCTTTAGGAGAGGGTCCTGTTCTGCTGGATTTTTTTTCCCCCTTTCTTACTTCCTTTTAGGGAATTGTGGCAGCGAGAC